CTTCACTGCACTCCCTGGCCAGGGTAGGAGCAAGGGAGGCTGAGTCAACCTTTTTCTTTTTTTATGGAGTGCAAGCCAGATGTGCGGGAGGGTGAGAGGATTCACCAGAGACTGCGGGGGAGAAGAACAGGTAGATCTCCCGAGATACACTGCTGAGGGGAGCAGCGGGCAGGACAGCAGAGGTCTGCTGCGCCATGTGGGTCAGCTCCCTGGTCAGGGATGGGACTCCTCCCACAGTGGCTGCAGATTGCCTCACAGTGGTGAGACTCACCCCCTTGCATCACCAGGGAGGGAGGCCTTGAGACAGCCTTTTGAGATGTGAAAGTCAGCGCCTACTTTTAACCAAAGCTTTGGGAAAGGAGAACTTTACTTCTGATCTAGTAGTTAAAAAAAAAAAAAAAAAACTAAACTAATTTACATTAAAATCACTGACCTGTCCTTCTTACCCTACTCTATTGATTTTGTTTCTTTACTACTTGCTTGTTCCTTCTGATTCCTCTGACTTAAAAAAACTATCCTTGAAGGCCCTCCCTGGTGGCGCAGCGGGTTAAAGCACAGCACAAAGAAGCTAGAGCCACTTTCGCATGAGTTCGATCCCCGCCTGCCCCGGAGGTGACCACATGGCGGGGCAGACCTCTCCTGACCCACCCGCTGCTCCCCTCAGCAGTGTGTACGTTGATCTGCCTGTTCTGCTCCCCACTCTGTCTCTGGTGAATCCTCTCACCGGCCCTACACCTCTGGCCTGTACCCCAGTTCTGTATGCACAAATAAATAAATCTTAAAAAAAAAAAACCAAACTACCCTTGAGCCTCTGAGAGGGCATTCCTAACTCCTCCCTGAGGTCACATTTGGCTTTCTTGTTCAGGGGGAGGCTGCCCAACTTACATTTTTGGAGAAGACCACCAGGGTCCCCGAGTTTGCAGCCTGGGGAGCTCCAGAAGTAGAAGCAGTTTGGGCTGGTGGGTGTGTTTGAGGGTAGAAGGTTCGAGTGAGACTGGGAAGGGGAGTTCCCGGCCAGCCTGTCACCCGTGCATGTTACAGAAGCCACAGCGCAGCCTTCATGAGAGCTCCGCTGGCCCGGTGTTGCCAGTTCCTTCTTGCCACCGTAGAGGCCATGCTGACGGAGTGTGGGCTTTGCACCAGTGGCTTGGACACATTCTCCATTTCGTTCCCACAATGGACCCTATGGAACAAGTGTTTTCATGTCTTTATCTTCAGACCAGGCCACTGAAGCACAGAGATGAAGTCACACGGTCAAGGCCACGTGGCTGTGATGGCTGAGTGGGGTGGGAAGTTCAGGTACGTTCCTGCGTCAGAATCTGGCCCATTCCACTCTTCCTCCGGGAGCCATTGCCTTCTGTCCTGCTGCCAGGCCTCCCACAGCCTGGCCATGCCTCGCTCCTGTCCACGCTCCAATGTCCTACACTCACCCCTGACTTCCCCCTCAGATCTATGCGTTTTGTCATATCAACCATATGAGCAAATATCCAGAGTTGCCTGCCATTCACAATCCCATTTTGAGGAGGGGTACACTTTCTTTCTAAAAGATTTATTTATTTATGCATACACAAACCGGGGTGCAGGCCAGAGGTGCGGGGGTCAGAGGATTCACCAGAGATAGAGTGGGGAACAGAACAGGCAGATCCACTGAAACACACTGCTGAGTGGGCAGCAGGTGGGTCAGGAGAGGTCTGCTGGGCCGTGTGGGTCACCAAACTGGCTGGGCGGGATCAAACTCCTGCTGCAGTAGCTGCGGACAGCTTCATAGTGCTGTGCTTTAACCCTCTGCGCCACCAGGGAGGGCCTGGGGGGGTAGACACTTTCTAAGATTTTAGGTGTCTCTTAGTGGTACCTGTTATCTAAAGTGATGCCCTGTACCCTATAAAGACACAGTGCACGTAGGCACACGGGTATCCTGCCCGCAATAAGCATAAATACACACACACACAGACTCATACAGGACCCCAATACACACAACCGTGGATAAATCCCCCTCCCAAAACGTAAACTCTCGAACCTACTCATAACCTGCGCCCACACAAACCCACATAAATGTGTAGGTAACCCCCAACCCTCACGTGCACGCACCCCTCCCAGCAGCCCAGCCTCCCTGCTGCCGGGGCCACGGCCCAGGTCCCTGCCTTTCTTCAGAGCCTGTGTAACACGAGGCTGGGAGGAAGTGAAACCTGCCCCAGCAGGAAGTGAAACGGGATGGGGAGCTTTTCTGGTTGTTCAGACACAGCTGTAGGGGGCCTAAGCAAGCGGTCTGCAGTTTCTGGAGCTGCCTGAGGTAAGTGGGATCCCCTGGGGTGGGAGTCTGGGTGGAGTGCTGGGCCAGGAGGTTCCAGCAGGTAGTTGCCACATTGGGCATTCTTCCTGTTTACCTGGAGGCACCCCCAAGCCCACCCCTCCATTTTGTTGGGGAGGAAGAACGCAGCTTTTCTTCAGGACAGGCTTTTGAAATGATGTGGGTCCAAGTTTACTCAGAATTGCAGATTCATGGTTCTTGGATTGGAAACCCATTCTCATAGAGTTTTCACATACTCCCTCCCCCTTTTTATTTTCAGTAAAAGAAACATTTTTTTCATGGGGACAGGGAAGATGAAGCGTGCCTCCGAGACAGGGTTGGCAGGATGTTTCTCCTGATGCTGGACCGGGTTGGCCCTGACCAGTGTCAGGGTCCTGATAGGGCAGGCCAGCTCAAGCCCCTGGTGGTGGGCCATAGGCATCCTCTGCAGCCCGTGGAGAGGATGGAGCTGGAGATTTCAGACATTGGTAGGCTGTGTTCGAGTCACTGGGGAGAGAGGAACAAGGACGGGGCTGTTGTGTGAAAGATGCAGAGTGCAGCGGAGGAAACGGTGACAGATGTCACTGCTCTCCTGCCCTGCCTGGAGAGATCAGTTGTAGGTAAAGCAACGTTACCATCTGCGGTCAGATTCAAGAGTTCAGTGACACTGAAGGGGGCCTTCAAAAGTCCAACTAAGATTTCAGGGTAGAGCCCCTGCTGTAGTGTGACACCAAATGGTCACCTAGTTCTTTCTTCAAATTCTCTCTTGTTCTCAGACATAGAGAACAATTGAATTCTAGCCCTGGAAAGCATCTTGGATATCATTCATTTCAGTGATTATCAAGCTTCTCTTTATTGTCTTATCACTTAATTACTTAATATTTAGTACCTCCCTGGTGACGTAGGGATTAAAGTCTCAGTGCTATCAAGCGCCACAGTCACTGCTGCGTGAGTTAGATCCCCGGCCAGGGAGCTGACCCACAGGGCACAGCAGACCTCTCCTGTCTCCCCGCTGCTCCCCTCAGCAGTGTGTTTCAGTCTATCTGCCTGTTCTGCTCCCTACTGTCTCTGGTGAATCCTCTCACCTCTCTGTATAAATAAACAAAAATAAATCTTTATAAAAATACTTCATATTTTCCTTCACATCTATATTTCATATTCAACCAACACAGGGACCTCTCACGTCTCTGATGATATTTGTGTCCCACTTTGAGAATCACCGAGCTTTTTACAGGTTGGGAAGCTGAGACCCAGAACCTGAAGTGAGCTGCTCAAGGTGTCCCAGTTAAAGACACACTAACTTGGGACTGTCGGTCTCCTCGTCTTCATTCTGTCTGGTGTAACACATGACATGTGCAAGCATGCACAAACAATTTTTAAATAATTCAAATAGATAACCCAGTTAAAGACTAAACAATGCCTGACATTAGAAGACTCTTAATAAATACAAGTTTCTTTCCCACCTTCCTTAAATCTCTGCTCACTATCAACCTGGCCCAGCTGCTTTCTGGAAGCTTCTAGAATTTTTTAAAATGTTCATATCCTGAAACAGCAAGGTGATGTATCTTGGTGTGGTTGAGTGACTGTGCTGTATTGAGTAACTGGTATCCTATCAGTCCAGACACAGGTGTTTGACTCTGGAACAATTTCTTGTCCTGTTTATATCTTCCCCCAACTCCTGTCCATTTCTTTCTTTTCCTTTTGAAATATCTGTTTTTTGGATGTTATTTGGATCTGTTATTTGAATTTCCTGAGCCCACCATCATCCCATGTTTTTCTTTGTCCTAATTTCTAAAAGATTTTCTCTAATCCACCTTTAAATATTGCTGGTACTATTTTTCTTTTTTTCTTAAAGATTTATTTTTTTTGTGCATACAGAACTGAGGTACAGGCCAGAGGCTCAGGGGCGCGAGAGGCTTCACCAGAGACAGAACGGGAACAGAACAGGCAGATCGAGGAAGTACACTGCTGAGAGGAGCAGCGGGCGGTCAGGAGAGGTCTGCCGCGCCATGTGGTCACCTCCGGGGCAGGGGATCGAACACTTGCGGAAGCGGCTTTAGCTTCTTAGTGCTGTGCTTTAACCCGCTGCGCCACCAGGGAAGGGCCTATTGCTGGTACATTTTTTAAATTTTCAGATTTTATATTTTTAACTTCTAACAGCTCTTTTCATTCTGTCTTTTCTAACTACCATTCCTGTTTTATAAACACAGTATCTTCTGTTAGCTTTCTGAGAATATTAATTCTGTTTTAAAAATTTTTCTTTTATTGCCCACATTGTCTCTGTTTCTCTTTGATCCTTCTAAACGTCTTTTTGTTTGCTTCTTTATCAGACTGGAAACTTTCTTCCGGTCCCTTGAGGTCCTTTGCTTTCTGGCTATATTTAAATGTGAGACATGACAGATCCGACTGGCAATGTGAACAGGGCTTGCTGACCCAGAAGCTCCCAGTAAAGAGGCCTCACAGGAATCCCTCCTTTGGCAAACCCCTTCTTGTCTGTACCTGGAGGGCTTTTCTTTGGGGTCTGAGAGGAAAAGGCCTCACTACACTGATTCCTGGTAACCCGGAAACAGGGCGGGAGAAGGAAAACCAGAGTCCGTTGTTTCAACCCGTAGCCCCTTCTTCTCACCCCCACCCCCTTAATCTACAGAGTCTCCATCTGAGCCTTTTCCTCTCCAGGCACCCCGATGCTGGTGGGCGTCCAGTCTGGGTGGCCAGCCCTGCTGGCCCTGCTTTGGGCCGTGACCATGGCCTCGTCCGATTTGGACATGTCTATAGATGAGGAGCGGAACCAGCTGCTGATGAGGGAGAAGATGATGCAGCTTGGGGGGCATCTGGTGCTGAAGGAGGATGAAGAGCTGGCCAATACGAAGCTGATGGCCCTCAAAAAGGCAGAGCTGATGCAGGCCATGGAGACCCAGAATTTCCCACCCAGCATGCACTTTTTCCAGGCCAAGAGTCTCATTGAGAAAAGTGAGGTGTTTAAAATCCTAAAGAAGATGCCAAAAGGTAGAGGTTTGGGGGAGGCTGGTGTTGGGATCCTGGGGCCATCTGGGGAAGCCAGGCTTGAGCTGTTATTGTTCTGACGGGCCCAGGAGAATCCAGTCAGGGACCCTGAACCTTGCTGTCGCTGCTTAGAGCTGGCTGTTGGCCCCCCGCTTCCCAGAAGGCTCAGAGACACAGGCCCTGTCTCCTGGACAAAGCTGGAAGAGCACACCCAAGGAGAGAGCACCTGAGGCCCACTGGGGCCTATAACTCCCTTCACAGCTCTGGGAGGGGCGGGGGGGGGTCTCTCTCCCCCTCCCCCAGGGGGAGGGGCTGACTCAACAAGGGGGTGCAGCGTGAAATAGCACCTGGGTGACACGGGCCATAAGCACGTTTTTCTGAGTTGTAAAATGATTATTATTCTGTGCATATAAATAATGTTTATCACTTTTTAAAAAAGATTTATTTATTTATGCATACAGAACTGGGGTACAAGCCAGAGGTGCAGGGGCAGTGAGAGGATTCACCAGAGACAGAGTCGGGGGCAGAACAGGCCAACTGACTGAAAAACTCTGCTGAGGGGAGCAGCGGGTGAGACAGGAGAGGTCTGCTGTGCCGTGTGGGTCGGCTCCCTGGCCGGGGATCAAACTTGTGCTGCGGTGGCTGTGGACAGCTTCATAGTGCTGCCCTTTAACCCCTTGAGCCACCAGGGAGGGCCTGTTTTACCATTTATAAAGATTTGTTTAAATATACCTTTTCTTTTTAATGTTACAGAGATTAAAAAAAAGTTTATGAGTCTTTTGGTAAAATAGGATCCTCAGCTGATAGAAAGCAGGAGGCCTAGGAGGTGACCCCAGAGTTCACACAGCTAAGACACAGTTGGACGTATGTCCAAGGTCAAGGTTGGGTGCTAAGATGGAGCAGCAGGAACAGGGACAGTATTTGCTATATTTGGAGAAGCACCAGGTTCCATGCTGTTGTTAGAGCTGAAGGACAAGCGGGTCTCAAACCATAAAACCTGCAGAACAGAAGCTTCACAGACCCAGGTAGGCCAGAGGGAAGCTCGGACTGAAGAGCCTGGGGTGGGGTGGGGTGATCAGGAGGAGGAGGTCAAGGTCAGTTATTCACATACGAGGTGAGGCGTGTTCTCATTGCATCTCTGTGCAGTGGGGGTGCAAGGCCTCATTGATAGGCCTGTGTTCCTGGGCCCGCCCTGGGCCAGCATGTTAAAGCTCAGTGCTATGAAGCTGTTCACAGCCACTGTACCACGAGTTTGACCCCCGCCCCGGAGCTGACCCACAGGGCATGGCAGCCCTCTCCTGACCTGCCTGCTGCTCCCCTCAGCAGTGTACTTCATCCGTCGGCCTGTTCTGCTCCCCTCTCTGTCTCTGGTGAATCCTCTCACTCCACACCTCTGGCCTGTACCCCAGGTCTTGTATGCATAAATAAAAAAATCTTTAAAATAAATAAATAAAAGCTTGTGTTCCCAATGACTAGAAGCTGATGAAGCCCCAACTTAAGCCTCAGCCTTCTGCTCCCAGCCTGAAGCTCCCTGACCCTACTACTACGCTGCCCTTCCTAAATAAGACTACCCTGGTTTGACTAGTGAGGGAGGCAGCAGGGAAGCCCCATTCTTAAGCCAGACCAAAGAAGGGGGGGGCTGGTGGCGGGGGGGGGGGGCTGGCAGGTAAGGCCTGGGAGGGCTTTGAGCTGTCGTGGGCAAGCACAGTGCAGGGACCTGTAGGTCTAAGGAACTGGGCCAGGTAGATTTCCTGGCATATCCCACCTTTTCTGGGCCACTCTTCTCTGCCCTCAGAGATCCCTGGAGTCTGGGGGTCACCTCTGCCACCTCCTTGCCTCTCCAGGGGCTGCCTTACACCTCCATGACTTCGGCATCCTGAGTATGGACTGGCTGGTGAAAAATGCCACGTACAGGCCCCACTGCCACTTCTGCTTCACCCCACGGGGGGCCCTGCAGTTCAAATTCGCCCACCCGACTCCTCCCACCCCTGCGCCAGCAGAGTGTTCGGAGTGGATTCTGCTGGAGAAGTATCGGAAAGGGCTGCAGAATGTCACTGAATTCGATAACAGGTGAGTGTTGGTCAGCAGTCTGTCCTGGTAGTGGGGGTTGCCTTGTACAGACCTATGCACAAGCATCTGGCCTTAAAAGCAATCCAGAGGCGCCCCTCCCCACCCCGTGGTGGGGTGGGGGCTGAGTCTCAGCTATCCTGACAGCCTGTGTTCTGTCCTGAGCTCAATACCTGGCCAGGGAGCTGACCCACAGGGCGCAACAGACCTCTCTGACCCTCTGACCCACCTGCTGCTCCCCTCAGCAGTGTACTTCGTCAGTCGGACTGTTCTGCTCCCCACTCTGTCTCTGGTGAATCCTCTCACCCCTACGCCTCTGGCCAGTATCCCAGTTCCTATAAGCATAAGTAAATTAACAAATACAAAGACTAGCCTTGCATGGATTGGGGGCACAATGCCATGCATAGCAACCCCTGAGTTGGTGTAGGGGTCAGACTGGCTGAGCTCACAGAGGAAACTGGGGTGAGGGTGGGGTGAGACTGGCCGGTGGCGGCCTCCCTCCTGAACTGCCTCTGAGGCGTACCCTGGAAGCCTCAGACAGCCCACGGGTGCTCCCCACGCCTCCCCTCAGAAGCTTGGCTTGCTTCTGAGTGGGAGAAACCAGAAGCAGGCAGGAATCCCGCTGGTGCCCGCTGGCCCTGGCCTCGTGGGCCTCGTCAACCTGTCCCTTTGTGTCCCGCACAGCCTGCTGAGAAACTTTACTCTGGTGACGGAAAACCCTGACGTGGCTTACGCAGACCAGAATGTGATCTGGTCGAAGTTTGAGGCCATCTTTTTCACCATCTCTGGGCTCGTCCACTACGCACCCGTGTTCAGAGACTACGTCTTCCGGAGCCTGGAGGAGTTCTATGAGGACAATGTGCAGTACGTGGAGCTCAGAGCCATGCTGTTCCCGGTGAGCCACCCCCGCCCTGCTCTGCTCTGGCTTGCCGCAAGCGCGTTCCTTGGCTGGTCTTCATCGCCCCCTACCCTGGTACTTCCCGCCCTCTGATTTCATCCCCAGCAGAACGGGGACTTGCCAGGGCTGCCACAAGCTGGGGACCTGCTGTGCCCTGGGCTGGGTATAGCAAAAGCGGTGAACTGCTTAGCCCTTCCCCATGTCCACGGAGCCCAAGGGCACCCAGACAGGTGCCTCTTGCCTGGACATTCCACCCCTTTCCACCCCGTTTCTTTTTCCTTTTTAAAGAATTATTCCTTTATTGTAAGATTTTAATTTTTTTTTATTTTGCATAGAAGAACTGGGGTACAGGCTAGAGGTGGGGGAGTGAGGAGTCACCAGAGACAGAGCGGGGAGCAGACAGGCAGAAAAGGGGAGCAGCGAGTGAGACAGGAGAGGCCTGCTGCACCCTGTGGGTCAGCTCCCCAGCTGGGGGTCCAACTCAGTCTGTCTCAATGGGCCTTTAAGGAGGTAGCTCTGAAACTTCAGCCCTAGGCCACCAGGGGGGCCTCAATTTATTTCTTTGTAGTTGACTGAGATAAAGGTACAGGAAGCAGTAAAAGTCCTAAGGAAAAACAAGGATAAAGCAAAGCGATGAAAGAATGAATGAATGATTCTCATTTCTGTCTAGTATGTCCCTTTATATGCAATAAATTAGTCTTTTTAGGCTACTTTAGTCCCAATGGTTTCCTTTTATTAAAGTGGAACATTCAGAGAACTATATTTCTTAAACAGAGGCACACAAATATTTGTTCCAAGTTTTCTTTTATCAGAACGTTTAGAGAGTTCCATAGGTGAAACTGAGCTCTGAACATGTTGTCCTATATCCTATCAACCAGAAGAGTGTTGGTCAAACAGAACCCTAATGTGCCTCATCATTGCTGACTGAGTTCCTCTCCCCAGGAGGGAGCAAGTGCCAGAACACTCTGACTACTTTAGACCTGTTTTCCTAGGAATCCGTATACACCCATAAAACATTCTGGAAACAATCCAGCATCCAGTGTGCACATGAATATTCAGAACCTTATTTGAATGGGGCAGGGACAGGAGAGAGTAGGCCCGCCCATCTCTAGGTATAGTGGAAAGTGAGGTGCGGGTTCTCCAGAGAGTGTAGAGGAGACAGGGAGTCAGAGGTTCAAGAAAGTGGCTAGCTTTTGCTGAGCATGAATATGTTTGCCCACTCTTATGCTGTTTGGTTCAAATAAACTGTTTTGTCCCGATTTCTGTGACGGCCACAAGGAAGAAAGAGGGAGGCAGAAAGGCTGAGCAAGCTGAGTTTATTGCTCCCGGGCAGCAGCTGAGAGGGAGCTCCCTAGGGTGGGGTTCCAGCGACTGGGAGTGCTGAAGGGAAAGGGTCTCTTAGGTAGGCTTTAGGCTCAGATTCCAGAAAGCTGATGTGGCGCTGTGCCCCCATGCAAGGCCGGTCCTGGTCATTGTGCTCTGGCCCATATATGGTGACACAGGTAGCTGTTGTGTTACTGCCCATATCTGGGCCCACTCAACATAAACCTTGTATGTTGTCTAAATAACTAACTGCTGGGCCTCCCTGATAGCATTATGAAGCTATCAGTGTAGCACGAGTTCGATCCCCGGCCAGGGAGCTGCCCCACATGGCGTGGCAGACCTCTCCTGTCTTCCCACTGTTACCCTCAGCAGTGTATTTCAGGAGATGTGTCCACTCTGCTCCCCACTCTGTCTCTGGTGAATCCTCTCACCTCCCCCTAAATACCTGTGGCCAGTACCCCAGTTCTTGTATGAATAAATAAATATATCTTAAAAAAAGTAACTGCTTATATTTGACATCGCAACATCTCTGATATTTCTGCACACTAAACTTTAAATCCTGGTTCAGATCCCAAAACTGACTTTCAACCCCCAGTTTAATTTAAAGGGCTCAAGAATTCTTTAAGAAAGATTACACCTGCACTGAGAACCAGTAATTCAGGTTTGTGGGTCAGGCCTTCTTCCCCTTCTTCTGAGACAAAGCTTCCTCTAGTCTCCGGTGTCTCTTCTCTTTAGCCGCAGAATCACCCACCTGTTCCCTTAGATATGCTAATGCCCTCTCTAGGTTAGCTCCGGGTTTGGTCCTAAAGAGGAGACTGTCTCCACCTGCATCTGGTGTTTAATGGTTTAACTCAGAATAAATTAGTATCTGTATTTCTGAATTCTCGGGAAGTGGGAGGGGGGTTTATCTTTGTAGAGCTTTTGTCAGTTTTGTGAGGTGAGTCCATGAGACGCGGGCACAAATAATCCTCTTCAAAGAAAAGAGAGGATCGATTCACTTTCTATTAAGTGTCCCCAAAAGGTGGGCTGGCACTGGGCCTCAACCATGTAGGCTGAAAGAAACTACACTTCCACAAGAACGTATTTGGTCTGGAGAATCCTCCAAACACAGGCTGGGCCCGCCGCCCCCCACCCGGCCCAGTCCCCTCTGGGTCGGGCTTTCGCCCCACCTCCACCCCACCATCCTGGAACAACCCTCTCCCGCTGGTCTTCCCGGAATGTTTACTTCCAGCACCCCCTTTGTTTCCTTGTGCCATTTCCGCCATTTCCGTGGTATGTGCAGTCGCTGGTTCCCCAACTAGCCTGTGAACCACATCTGTTTGGTACCAGACCCCTCCTCCCTGCGTCCTCCGTGGGCACCAGTAGTGACAATCATGCTTGATGATGGGGGGTGGCGCTGCAAACTTGGGTGCATTTGTGGCTACTTTGGAGGTGCTGTTTGAAACTCATGTGTGGACCCTGATCTCCTGAGGTTCTAGCTTTTGGGTAGGGCCAGGAAGCTGCAGCCCTAACTGTCGCAGTAACACTCATGCAGCAGCTGTGACCCGGGCACACTTGGCAGTGGGGCCAACTTCATCTTGACCTTGACACAGCTTGCTGCCTCCCGGGCCTACTAGGAGCCTCACAGTGACCCCGCATTTCAGATGAGGAAGCCGAGGCTCCGTGGAAAAGCTAGACCCGCGTCATGTGGGTCGCAGGCTAGGCGGGCAGAGGCCAGCGGTGGGCTTGTAGGCATGATGGCCGCCACGCTCCTCTAACACGAGCGCCCCCTGAGAGGGCGCTCTAGCTCTTCGGGAGGGGACGTGAGGCTCCGGGCCCGCTGAGCGGACGCTTTGCCCAGAAGGAGCGGCCCCTCCCGGGAGAGGGCGTCCGGCTGGGCAGAATCTGGGAGCGTCCTCAGCGAAAGGACTGGGGAAGCGCGCGGACGACTTAGGGGGCGCAGAGAGGAAGGGAGGAAAATCACAGAAACAGTCTGACCCTCGGTTCTTCTGAAAGCTGTGACTTTCCTCTTGAGCTCCGTGTGCTAGTATTTGGGGGAAGTCGCTGAGAAATTCGGAGGGTGAGAGAGCAGTTGAAACAGAGACTCCCTCCTCCAGCATCCCCTTTCCGCAGTTGGTATTTTCTCCTTACCAGACTTGAACTCCAAGGCATATAATTTGGGGGCTCAGCCCAGCTCCTCTCCCACTCTGCTCACAGCTCACTATCTCCTAAGAAGCCTTTCTAGAAAGTGGAGGGCTGCTGGGATTTGGGATTCAGTGGAGCTGAGGGGGATGGGATTTGACCATTTGTTCTGGTCTGACCCTGGAACAAAGGCCCCTTGCAAGAGAGAGTCGATGCCTTAATGCCCCCCATTAGCCAGAGTAGGGGGAGCCATCAACACATTAACAACTAAAAACCGTCTGCCCAGGAATTCTTTTGCTGAGCCGCACTACCACCCCCCGCTCTTGCTAGTGGGGCTAATTCAGGGCCTGGGATGATGTTGATGGACTATCCTGGCCGCTCAGCCTCCTATTGTGTTACTAATGCTCAATAACAAAGGCTCCTTGCCTTTAGCAACAGTTGCTAGGCGGGTCTTATCTCTAGGGCCCTGTCCCTTCCCCCACGGCCAGAATCTGAGGCCCAGACTGGGTCCTGGCCAGTCTCTAGAGTGTTCTTAGAGGACCCAAGAGGATTATTCCCTGGAGGTTGCCCTGCAGACAAGATGGGGCAGAGAGAACCCAGGTTGGTGGCTCCAGGCTTTTCCTGGATGCCATCACAGGGCAAAGAGCCACCCTCTACACTTCCTGTCCTTACACCCCCCCCACCCCTCCAGCCCTGTCTCCCCCCACCCCCCAGGCTGGCCCTAGATTCTTAGCAGACCTTGCATGAGAAGGCTCACCTGGACAGCTGCGGATGCGTGTTCTGGGTGCCACGCTGCGAGATCACAGCCTCCCCTGGGCGTCCACCATGTGCCGGCGCGTGCCGAGTGATTGATATCCCATCTCATTTAGTCCTCAAAACTGCATTAGTAAAGGGGTCACATTTATAGAAGAGGACTTTGAAAGTGAAAAGTTCAGAACCTCTTTTTGCACCTCAGAAAAGTGAAGTTAGGATGCCCCCTGGTTCTACTATGCAATATTGTATTGTTTACTCATCTGTCTGTCGATTTAACAAAAATAGTGTTATGCGGGAATGGGACTCGCTACCCCAAAAAAAGCCAGTCACACCGCTGTAAAGACAAGAGGAAACTTTATTGCAAGCTCCATCTTGGGCCCAACAGCACACCAGAGGCCCTGTGCACTGTGTGGTAGAGTTTTTACACAGTCCCTGGGCCCGGCCAGAGTGCGATAAGGTTGCTGCCTGATTAGTAGATCCTCACCACCCTCCATATTTGGTACAGAAGTTTGCCTCAGTCCATGATTGGTTGGCAGACATGGTCCGATCCTAGGTGAGGGTGCCCTGGTCTGGTGTCATACAGGAAGCCCCCTTCCCAGAGAACACAGGAATTCAAGCCTAAAATGGCGACAGATAATTCAAGATGGAGGCTGTCATGCTCTTCATTAGGAGACCTTAACCCTAGCTGTGTATAACGCTATAAAATCACTGGGTAGGTTTAGGGAAAAATAAAAAAAAAGCATACTGGGCTCAATTTAGAGTAAAAACATACTGGACTCAATTTAGAGTACATCAGTTTTTAACTTTCATATCATCAAGGGGAAATTATTCAAAACACATACTACTTATATAAACCAATATAAAATTGCACTAACACTCAGCAACATGGAGGGGAGGTTGGGGACCCTGGCCCCCCAACTCCAGTGGTGGAAAATCTGTTCCACATCACTTAATTCACAGCCACTCTTATCTTTAGGCTCCTGGCTGAATCAGTGAACCAGAAACCTTAGGCTCTACCCTAGGAATTTTTTTTTTTAAGATTTTATTTATTTATGCAGACAGAGCTGGGGTACAGGCCAGAAGTGCAGGGGTGATGAGAGGGTTCAGACGAGACAGAGTGGGGAGCAGAATAGGCAGATCCACGAAGTACACTGCTGAGGGGAGCAGTGGGAGGGTGGGTCAGGAGAGGTCTGCAGCGCCCTGTGGGTCACCTTCTGGGTGAGGATCGAACTCATGCAGAAGTAGCTTTAGCTTCTTAGTGCTGTGCTTTAACCCACCGCCCTAGGAATTTTAACTGATAATGTTATAGGGTACCCCAATTCTGTTACAGGACAGGAGGAGAGGGGCACCCCTGGAGCCCCAAAAACCTGCCTGCTCTAAGTGGGTTCTGCCATCCGCCGCAACAAGACAAAACATATAAAACTTTAATGAGAAGGGACTTTAATACAGTGAATATATAATACAGAACACAAAGAATAGAACTTGTAAATCAAACACCTGAAGTGACCCATCCCCTCGTGGGCAAAAGTCAACCCAAAAGGGGTTGGCCCAAAGCAAGGCCTGAAAGCTGCCACTAGACTAAAGCACCTTCTGGCCGGGACCCATGGAAAAGGGTCAGAAATGGCCAGACAAGTCTGGGAGGAAAAGAGCAACATCAAAATCAGTATAAACACTGCCATAGTCACCTCCTCACGGGTCTCACCCACATCTGCCTTAACCAGTCCAGGGCCAGGAAACAAGCCCAGTTTCTTAAATCACATGCTTCCTCAAGTCTCCTGGCTCTCCATCCTGCTTCAGTCTCTCTTCTCTCCTTTTTCTCTGCTCAGCTCCACCCTCCTTCTGGGTGGGGCAGGGAACCTGGAACTTCCCTTTTTCCTAGGGACCCCCCTGTTACAATAAGTCCAGGTTGAGATCCAGGCATTTTCTCCTTCTGGGGGTTACTGATGTGCCACTGGAGCTGAGACCCTGAGACCCCGGACTGTCACTGAGTTTCAAGGTGAGGACAGAGAACCTCACCTCACCACCCCAAAGGTGGAGTACCAGGGTTCGAACCTTTTTAACTTTCAAAAATTCTCCTCGTAAACGAGACCCACTCAATAGCGTAGTTTTGAGGATTAAATGAGATGACGATATAACTCACTCGCCTGGTCCCGGCACACAGTAGAAGCTCAGTGAATGCTTGTGAAGTCAGTGGTGCGCTAGAAGGAAAACCACATGCACGGGAATCAGCAATCCCGAGTCTTTGTTTCTGGTCTGATATAAACCAGCTGTGTGACTTGGGCAACTCTTTGATCCTAGTTTCCCTTTGGTTTCTTCCAGATCAACATTCTCTAATTCCATGACATCATAGACAATAAAACTTTGTACAACAGACCCTAGAACCGGATGGGTTTGCATGGCGTGGGCCCACTTCTGGCCAGGGTTTCCGGTTCACTGATTCAGCCAGTGGCCGCTGGTTGACTCCGCAGATGGGGAGCCCAAAGATGAGAGTGGCTGTGAATTAAGTGATGTGGAGCAGATTTTCCACCACTGGAGTTGGGGGGCCAGGGTCCCCAACCTCCCCTCCATGTTGCTGAGTGTTAGTGCAATTTTATATTGGTTTATATAAGTAGTATGTGTTTTGAATAATTTCCCCTTGATGATATGAAAGTTAAAAACTGATGAACTCTAAATTGAGTCCAGTATGTTTTTAATTCACTATAGCAGCTTTTACCTCAGTCGTAGACGCATGAATGACACTGTCTTGCTTGTACTTCAGACTTGAACCCTGCACCTTTTGAGTTATGATTGATTTGTGACAGAATGTATCTGCACTGGAGGCCTGAATCTCAAAAGCTGACCAGAACCCTCCCAACAACTGAGGCCTTTCCTCCAATGTCTGGCATCACAGCAGCATTCCTTTTCTTTTTTTTTTTTTTTTTAAAGATTATTTCTTTATTCATACAGAACTGGGGTACAGGCCAGAGGTGCAGAGGCAGTGAGAGGATTCACAGAGGCAGAGCGGGGAGCAGAACAGGCAGACTAACAAAGTACCCTGCTGAGGGGAGCAGCGGGAGGGTCAGGAGAGGTCTGCCACACCATGTGGTCACCTCCTGGGCAGGCGGGAATTGAATTCATGCAGAAGTGGCTTTAGCTTCTTAGTGCTGTGCTTTAACCTGCTGTGCCACCAGGGAGGGCCAGCATTCTTTTTTTAAAAAGATTTATTTATTTATGCATACAGAGCTGGGTAAGGCCAGAGGTGCAGGGGCGGTGAGAGGATTCAGCAGAAACAGAGTGGAGCAGAACAGGGAGATCAACAAAGTACACCACTGAGGGGAGCAGCGGGCGAGACAGGACAGGACAGGACAGGAGAGGTCTGCCATGCTGCGTGGGTCACCTCCCTGTCAGGGATCAAACTTGTGCTGGGGCACTGTGGATAGATAGCTTCATAGTGCTTTGCTTTATCCGAGGGCCCCATGGCAGTATTCTAACCACACCCACTGGGCTATATTGGGAGCTGCAGGTCCGCCCCCTGACCTCCGCAAAGTTCTATTCTTGAAGCGCAACCACACTTGAGCATTCAGATCTTGCTAGGAGCTTCCATGGAGCCTACAGTTTCTTTGCCAGAGGCCACAGCTGCAGGCACAGGGCAGGGCAGTGATTTACTGGGGCACCAGGAGACCAGGAAATTCTCTGAATGCCTCTTGAGCATCTGCGGCCTCCGGCATCAGATTCCATCTTCGAGGCTCTCCATGCTATGGGAACCAGAAGTGGGACTGGAACTCTGGAAGGCAGGGGGCCCAGTGTCTTCCTTGCTAAGTACTGGAATGATAGAATTGATGATTTGGAACATCAGACTTTTGGTTGTATCATTTGCATATCTGCATAATTAATTTGCCTGGGACCTTTCAGGCAGAATTATAATTTGTTGGGGTTTTTTTAAAGGTTCTTTCTTTTGTCTCCCTTCTGTTCTGCTAATACTGCTCCATCAGCAACCTCTCACATCCATCTATTTGTTGCTGCCTGGGGCTTAGTGCTTTTTAAGGCCCAAGTAGACAGCACTCTTTTTAAATGAATGGTAGGGAACCCCTACTCTGGTAATACAGGAGGGAGGGGAGGAGATCAGAACTACATGTGTCCTGTCCTACCCCCAGGGATTTACAACCACTTGGTGAGTTTGGCAGGTGGTGCATCACACAGAGCAGGCAAGGCCCGGGCAGAATTCCCTGCCTTTCAATGGCAAACCAGCTGGGTGGTGCAGTGTGACTTTGACTAACAATTTCTGATTTGGTTTAGTGGTTCTCAAACTTTGACACTCAAAAAATATTGAGGAGGGCCCTCCCTGGGGCTGTAATGGGTTGGGGTGCATTACTGTGAAGCTGTCCGCAGTCACTGTGGCATGAGTTCGATCCCCGGCCAGGGAGCTGACCCACATGGTGCAGCAGACCTCTCCTGTCTCCCCGCTGCTCCCCTCAGCAGTGTATTTCAGTCAATCCAACTGTTCTGTTCCCCACTCAGTCTCTGGTGAGTTCTGTCATCTGCACCCCGCCCCGCACTTTGTCCTGTACCCCAGTTCTTGTATGCGTAGGTAAATAAATCTTTAAAAAACAAACAAAAATTGAGGATCCCATAGAGTTTTTGTTTATGTAGAATATACAAAATAAAATACATTCTATTCTATATAACATAGCAGGTATCAGAAATGAAAGCAGGATATTTTAAAACACACAATCAGTGATCTCAGAGTGATATTTCACACGTGATACAGCTTCTGGAAACTTCTGTACATGCTCATGAGAGAATAAGAAGTGAAAAAGACATAGGAGTTCTTCAAATTTTTATGAGGAAAGTTTTGACACTGCAGAATGCCTGAAAACCATCTAGGGGACTCCAAGACTACACATGGAGAAACTCTGGGTGAACTGAGTCTGGTCCGGGTGTGTTTAGCGGTGACTGGTGGCTGGGGGTGCAGTTGTTGACTGACTCGCCTCTGACGTGGTCGGGACCATGCTCCCGCACAGGTGTACGAGCTGAACGGGACACTCCACGACCGAGCGTGGTCAGTGAGGACGTACAAGGAGGTGGCGTCTGTGTTTGCGAAGAAGCATCCTGGGTTTATTGGAATCAAAATCATTTATTCAGATCACAGGTGAGAACAGAGCTAAAAATCAAGTCTGGGTGCACAGGCCGAGAGAGAGCCACGGCTGGGAATGAGGGAGAGAGGCATGAGGAAGGGGAGCAGAGCGTCAGAGACCCCCCCTTAATGCCAGAGAATCATGGGCTTGGCACACATGTGAGTGAAAATCTACCTGTGAAATCATTTCTAGTTCCAATCCTATGATCTGACTAAAACAAAGAAGTGTGGCAATTTTGCAGGTAATTTCCGACCCCACATTGGCCCAGGTGACCCATCGTGGGGGTCTGTTTTTGTCCAACAGTACAGATGTCTAACTGGTCTATTTCTTTGTTTCTATTGCACTGAGGTTCTGCCCAAGGTCACCTTGTGTTGTGTGACTGTGTGCAGCCTCGATGGGTGACCAGACCCTGGGTGAGACAGGCGCCTCAGCACCCGTGTGGGGAGACCCCACAGCGGCACTGTGGCCTGGGGGTGTGGAAGTCCCAGTCTCCCAAACAGGTCCAGAAAGTCTAACTTTCCTGCTGAATTTACCAAGGAGCTTTCTGCTCCTGTGCCACAGCCTTGGCTGACCAGGAGACCAGGCTCCGCGCTCAGGTGGGGATGACACCAGTCAGGGGGCCCACGTAGGCCATCACATCTCCCAGGGGCTCCCCCCCACCCCGGGCCTACGCCTGAGTGCTTGCACCCCGGTACAGAGATTGCAGGTGCCTCCTCCTTGTTTCCTCAGCCCAGAGGTTCCCTGGGGGACAGTGGCAGCCGGGAGTGAGTGCTGAGCTGTCTGGGAGAGAGCTTTCAGGAAGGGCAGTGGGCGGGTGGGGGGGGCAGGACAAATGTGGGCCCTGGGGACTGGGGGTTGGGGCAGGTGAGCCAGCGGTGGACAGGATCTCAGGCCTACTATGGAGCGAGCCTGGCTTCTCTTCTGGGGTTTCCTCTTCTGCTGGCTCCTGTCCGGGAGATGAAGACTGAGAGGGCCTAGGGGACGGATGTTTAGGGAGATGGTTCTGGACGGCCAGGCCCTGGCTTATTTACCAGGGAAGAAGAGTTGTGTGCAGATCTGCCCTGCAGGACCCTCTCTGCTCCCTGGAGCAGTGAGCTGGGCTGAGGCTGCACCCACTTCTGGGAGTTGCCCTCCTAGGGAGCTGGCAAGCTTTACACAGGACCACCCGCTTCATCCAAATGTACACAGCTAGAAGTTGTTCCATGCCTGCCCTCACCCAGAGATGGGTCAGCCCCTGAGCCAGCCAGAGTCCTCAACAGGGAGGGTTTGGAGTGAAATTCCACCTAAAGGGCTTTCTTATGTTTTTTAAAAAAGATTTATTTATCTATGCATACAGAACTGGGGTACAGGCCGGAGGTGCCGGGGTAGGGGTGTGCGTGAGAGACTTCACCAGAGTGGGGAGCAAAATAGTCAGATTGACTGAAATCCACTGTTGAGGGGAGCAGCGGGCGGGTCAGGAGAGGTCTGCTGGGCCGTGTGGGTCAGCTCCCTGGCCGGGGATCAAACTTGTGCTGCAGTGGCTGAGGATAACTTAGTGCTGTGCTTTAACCCGTTGTGCCACCAGGGAGGGCCCTAATGGGCTTTCAGTAGCACGCTAGGGAAGGGGGCCTGTGGGATGAGGCCCTGCTGGTTTGGGAAGGGGCAGGGAGCCCTGGATGAGACCAGCCATAGGCCCCCGGGCAGTGCTTGGGCACCGGGCAGCCCCACCTCCCAGTGGTGCCGTCTCCCATGCTTCTCTTTGTCTCTCGCAGATTCAAAAACGCGTCCCTCATCATGGAATCCGTGCGAACAGCCTTGGAGCTTCGAGCCATGTTCCCCAGGACTGTGGCAGGGTTTGACCTGGTAATGGACTCAGATACGGGCCCAGCGGGCAGGTCTCCATGAAGAGCTGGGCAGCCCCTCCCCCACCCCTACCCCCCCAGTCTCCGGCTGACCAGAGGCCTGGCAGGGTTCCGCACTGACCCTCCCTCAGGAGCTGTGTGTGTGTGTGTGCGTGTGTGTGTAGGCTGGGGGGGGGGAGGCGTCGGGGGGGATGGTGACACAGGGGAGAAGAGAGAGCTGAAAAGACCAGGTGGCTAAAGAGGAAAGTTCCAGAATAAGGAAGGGATTCAGGGAGGCTGGACAACGACGATGGCCTTGTTCCCTTTCCCTGCTGTCATCCTGTTTCCTGTCCACGTTGTTCCCTTACACAGTGGGCGCGTCTGGAAGCAGAGAGTGGCCTGAGCCCCCAAAAAGCTGTCCGAGAGGGGAGTGGCCCTCCCCGGCCAGCCCATCTGCTCCCCCACCTAGGAGAGCCCTGGCGGGCCGAGTTCCCAAGTGACCGGGCCACGTCAGAAAGGACGCGGGGTCCCTTTGGACTGACTGGTGAAGAGGCCCCTGGCTCCCTCTCCCAGGACCTGCAGCCATGCTTCAGCGTGTCCCTCAGAACAGCCCGAGCCCACAGGAGTGGGTCCCCAAGGATTCTTGGGTGGGGACCCCTGAGGTCTTCTTGGGGTCCTCGGAGGCTGCTCTCCAGCAGAGGGGCAGGAGCCGTCCTCCCCCTCCCTGTGTGCAGCGCTGGCTGACCGGGCCTGAGGACAGCTTCGGCACAGCGCTGCGGGGCCGTCCACCACGGGACAGGCTGTGGGTCAGGCGGCCCTCCGCAGGGGCCCTCGCTTTTTCAAGCCTTCGCCAGCCACTACCTTGGCGGGCCCTGATTTTTGTGTTATAAAAGTGTATCACTGTAACTGCGCCCCGAGTTAAAATTGCTGTTCTGAAAGAGACTCCGGGCCCTGAGGCCCCCAGAGCGGGGATGGCTCAGTGTGGGAAGCTGTGGTCTTCGCGTGTCTTCTGAGGCGGGAGCCCGGCGGGGGCCGGGCGAGGCCGGGCTGCAGTCCAGCCTCCCGCGGTCTGGCTGTCCCTCTGTCTCTGTGTCTCTCCTCCCCGGCCTCACCCTCTGTCTGTGTGTCTCTTTCCCAGACTCGTTCTCTCTTACCTCAGTCTGTCTCCTCAGTCTCTGTTTCTCTCAATCCCTTCTTCTCTTTCTGTCTCTCTCTGTCTCTGCCGTCTGTCCATTCCTCTCCCTCTTGAGAAATTCGGGGCCAGAGTATAGGGGCTTGTGAAGCGGTATGAGAAGAGAAAGGGGCCGGGAGGACACAGCCATGCCTGAATGGGGGACTCTTTTTGGGGCAGAACACGCTGTTTCCAGCTCTGCCTCTGGCTGTGCCCAGGGACTGAGCTTCCTGCAGTCATGGCAGCGGCTGCAGGGCCCCATCCGCCGGAAGGCATGGACAGGCAGGTGCCGCCGTGAGCCGTCCTCTGCCCTGCAGGTGGGACACGAGGACACGGGCTACTCCCTCTACGACTACAAGGAGGCTTTGATGATTCCATTTTCTCGTGGCGTCAAGCTGCCTTACTTTTTCCACGCTGGAGAGACAGGTGAGCCATGGGGAGATCGACAGGGACAGAGGAGCGTGGATGGCATGCTGGGCAGCGTGACTCCTGCAGCTGGATAAGCCGGACATGGCATTTTTTTTAAAAAAAAAGATTTATTTATTTATTCATACAGAACTGGGGTACAGGCCAGAGATGCGGAGGGTGAGAGGATTCACCAGAGACAGAGTGGGGAGCAGTACAGGCAGATCGACGAAGTCCACTGCTGAGGGGAGCAGCGGGCGGGTCAGGAGAGGTCTGCCGCGCCATGTGGTCACCTCCGGGCTGGGGATCGAACTCATGTGGAAGTGGCTTTAGCTTCTTAGTGCTGTGCTTTAACTGCTGTGCCACCAGGGAGGGCCTGGAAGGTGTTTTTATACCCATTTGTTACGTGGACACGCCAAGGCTCAGCAGTGTGATGGAGTCAGAACATGGGCCCTTCTGATGGTCTCTATTTTATGAGGAAACTGTGATTGCAAGATGAGCTCACCTGTTCAGAGTCACTCACAGGTCAGTGATGAAAGAGGGGTAGAGTCAGGTCTGGCCTGGAGGAGGCTCTGTCCACACTCACCAGTGCTGAAGAACAGACTCTGCGGCCCTAACAGCCTGGCTGCCGTTATTTCTGGAACGCCACCAGCCCAGCTATAATGCTTCCCAAAGCTCGAGCCCTGGGCTCACTGGTCATCATTGAGGACCAGCCCCTCCCACATTCTGGTCCTCAAAATGTGTAACTCCTAAGCAAAAGGAGACCAATTTCAGATCAAAATGAAGATCTGGAGGCTTAGACCTGGAGGAAGGCAGTTGTGGCATACCTCCTGGCTCCCTCCTGGCATCCCACCTGGCATCGTGGCCTGGCATGTCTCGGAAAACCAGAGATAAGAAGAGAAGGGTGGAAGCTTGACCTGCATACCCAGGCTTAACCCTGGGTTTAAGGCACCATCTCTCAGAGGAAGGATCTTGTGCATTCATCTCCTTTTCCTGACATTTCCAGTTAATTTAGATCCAATTTAGATCTAAGCGGTTCTAGGAGACTTAAAGAATTGTTTGTGGGGGAAAGCCAGGAGGTGGTAACCTTGAGAAGCTTGTAGTCCAGTTGGGAAAGTAATACCTGTGGAAAATCACTTCAACGGTATAAAACCCAGAACCCAGAATCTAACCAAATTCAAGATGTGTGATCCAAGAGAGGGTTTTGCCAAGACTTGAGTATTTAATATCAGTGTCCTTATTTTAAAAAATAAATTCTTGGGCTCTCCCTGGTGGAGCAACGGGTTAAAGCACAGCACTGTGAAGCTCTCCACAGCCACTGCAGCACAAGTTTGACCCCTGGCCAGGGAGGTGACCCAGAGGGCACAGCAGACCTCTCCTATCTCCCCACTGCTCCCCTCAGCAGTGTGTTTTGGTCAATCTACCTGTTCTGCTCCCCACTCTGTCTCTGGTGAGTCCTCTCAACTCTGTCCCCCCACCGCACCTCTGGCCTGTACCCCAGTTGTTTTATGAGTAAATATTTAAAAATACATTCTTGAAAAGAAAATAATACAGAGAAAATCAGTGAAAATCCACCTAAAACACTTGTCCTTATCAGTCATGGGAATTCTTGGGTTTTGTTCCTCATGCAAAAGTGATATATAAATATTTTATGTGTAACTCTGTTAGGAAGCTTTTGGCTGCTAAATGGAGTGCAGATGTCCACTGAGTTACAGTAAAGTCACATTTGAGCTCACGTGATAAGCAACCTCTGCTGTCCTCATTGCATCCAGGATCTCATCCTATTGGGTCATCAAACAGTGAAGTCACGTACAGATGTGACTACATCCAGTGATGCAAGACAGGAGACATTTCCTTCAGGGCCATCTCCTTTATTTTTTAAAAAAGATGTGTATTTATTTCTGCACACAAGAGCTGGGGTAGCAGCCAGAAGAGCAGGAGGTGAGAGGATTCACCAGAGACAAAGTGGGGAGCAGAACATGTGGATCTACTGAAATCCATTGCGGGCAGGTCAGGAGAGGTCTGCTGCGCCCTGTGGGTCAGCTCCCTGGCTCGGGATCGAACTCGGGCTTCAGTGGCTGTGGACGGCTTCCCAGTGCTGCGCTTTAACCCACTGCGCCAGCAGGGAGGCTGGACCATTTCCTACAATTAGGAAGCCCCAGCATTTGTGTGCTTACCTCAGTACCCTCGCAGGCCAGCATGAGGATTCTCCTAGCAGCAAGGAGCGAGGAGTCAGGCCCCATCATTTTCACCCTCTATGGAAGGAGATGCTGTGGGTGGCTGGGGGCTTGGCCACAGCTCTGCACCCCCTGCCCATTCATGCTGGCCACTGTGATCTCGTGACTAAATTGTCCCCACCAGTACTGTTAAAGATACAAGTAAACGCAAGAACATATGAATAATTCTGTCAATAGAGTCTGTGACCATTGTCATAAAGATCGTAAACAGAAAATAGTTCTGGAAACAAAACAAAAAAAAAAAAGAGAGAGAGAAGGGGGTGGGGAAGTGGATTATGGAGTCAGATTTGCACGTTTGAAGCCAGGTTCTATGACTACCTAGCTGAGAATCCACTTTCAGTTTGTAAATCCTATGTAGGCACCATTTTGGCTCGTTGGCACATATGTAAATACACACACACACATACAATAAAGGCATGCCACTCCTCTTTCGAGGGCCATTCAAAGGAAAATGTGTGTGTGTTTGTGTTCATGTTCTTTTCTCTTTTTCTTGGTCATCCTGGGGTCACATCTGGGGTTGGTCTGTGAATCAGATTCGTCCTACTGAAGATCACCCTTTCCCCCCAGACTGGCAGGGCACTTCCATAGACAGGAACCTTCTCGATGCCCTACTACTGAACTCCACCAGGATTGGTCATGGGTTTGCTTTGACCAAACACCCAGCAGTGTGGGCTGCCTCCTGGAAGAAGGACATCCCCATAGAAGTCTGTCCTATCTCCAACCAGGTAAGCACGATCGGACAGGCGAATCCACTATTATCTTCTCCCTCAACTCAATCTCTGCTCTGGACATCAACCTTCCTGCCTATATTCTGTCTCCTAGGCTCACTTGTTTGCTGTCGTCCAACACTCCGTAACTCTCATTGGTAAAGTTAGTTAGAACAGTCTCTTGCTGGCATAATAATGAGGCAACAGTGAGGGACCTCATAGGCACATTTTGGGCAAAACTGTGGACCGAGCTGAGGGCACAAGATGTGTGGCATTACTGCTGTGAGGGTTCCTCAGGGCCCTTGCTATGTCCAGGAAAGCTGCTTTGAGCAGGGACCAGGAGAGAAGCAGAGAAAACATCTGGAGTGGTGAGGAAAACTGGAGAAAATTAGGAAGATGTGAGGATGGCCTCTTGTTGGGTCAAGACTTTGCCCGGAAGTCATCCCAGCATTCAGAACGGTGGTGGGAAAGGAAGGAGCCAAAATGCTCAGTCTCAGCTTTCTCATGACAAGTCTATTTGGATCAGTCTGTCTTTTTCTTTGCCTCCTGTTGGGCAGGTTCTGAAGCTGGTGTCAGACTTGCGAAACCACCCTGCAGCTGTTCTGATGGCCATGGGCTACCCCATGGTCATCAGCTCTGATGACCCTGCTATCTTTGGTGCCAAAGGCTTGTCCTATGACTTCTACGAAGCCTTCATGGGCATTGGGGGGCTGACAGCTGACCTGAGGACACTCAAGCAGCTGGCCATGAACTCTATCAAGTGAGTGTCCTCTGTCCTTCCCAGCCCCCTGCCCCCTCCGATGCCACATCTTTATGTTCCTCTCCTCCAAGGTCAGGGTGGAAGCCTAGAAGGTGTCTGTGGGTTTTCCCAACGTTGTTTCATTGTGGTTGGACTGGGGCGGGGAGGGGAATGTGTTTTCCAAGCATCTGGGCTCCGCTCTTACTCCCTGTTCCTACCCCTTTTCTGTGGCTGACCTGGGTCTCTCTTCTGCAGGTACAGCGTGCTGGGGCAGAGAGAAAAGACGGCTGCCATGGCATCCTGGGAGGAGAGATGGGACAAGTTTGTGGTGGATGTGGCCAGGGGCCCGCAGTGAGAAGACAGCCATAGCTGCCCGGTTCCTCTGCTTCCTGCTGCAAGCTGTCTCACCTACGCCCAGTCCTTCTTGTCACTCCAGTAGAGCCTTCCCCTCCATTTCTTTATCAGACTGACCTTGTGGAGGTCATCCCTGGCTTCCACATTGCCTGACCAAACGTCTCCTGGTGGACTGGTACCGCTCACCTCACGACTCCAGTCTCTGAAGCCCCTTCTCTCTGACACGGCATCCTGGGTCCCTTTTCCAGATGTTCATGAATTCTCCTTGGATTTCCTTTGTCTTCTCAATCCCTGCTCTCCTTTTTTTTTTTTTTTTCTTCTCACCTGATATTCCTTTCTTTTAAATACCATGATTCACAGATGCCTCCCAAGCATTATTCTCATGGATGACTCACAGGAACTTCAGAAACCTCCTATGTGCACTCCTGAACTCTGGTCATTCCTCTCAAGCTTCTCTTGGTCCCTCTCATCTTTAAACAGTCTCCCCATTGGCTCAGGGCAGAAATTTCCAGTGACGTCCTTGGTACCACCCTCTTCTCTGGCCCCTGTATCAAGAGTACCTTGAACCCACCTTCGTCTCTGCCTCAGCTCTCACTGATGCCAACCTCCTGTCTGAGTTATCATAACAGCCTCCTAATTGATCTTTCCTCTTTGCCTTCTCCAATTCATTCCTGACAGGGCAGATTGACTTTTAAAAATTAAATTAAATCAGGTTTCTCCATTGTTCACAGCTCAGGCACTTGGAATAAAGCCCAAGTCTCTCAACAGGACAGAGAACACCTGTTTCGTCTGGACCCCTTCCAGCCCCACCTTACCCCTAGTGCACACCCACCACACCGGTTCTTTGTCCTCAGCTATCCCTGGCTCTACTCTACATCAGGACTTTTCTCAGTCTTTCTGGAATGTTCTCTTTGATTCCTGGAATGCTTTTTCCTTTCTACCGTTAGCTAACCAGCTTATTTCACCCTTCATGTTGCAGGTTTTTTTGTTACTGACTCAGAAACCTGTTAAGTCACCTTCCTCTTTTCCTTCATGGTACTTATCATCATGGGCAATTATATATTTCTTTCCTTGTTGACGGTCTCCCTACCAGACTACAACCTCCATGTCAGCACTAATAATTGTTTCATATACACCACAATCCCAGAGCCAACCTCCAAGCCCCAAACCGACTTAGAATTCACTGAAGGTGTTTTGGTTGAATAGATAATGAACATGAAGTGCATCTGTTGAACTGATAGCCGAGGCAGGAGGAATATAGAAGATGCGCCCTAGGCCAGAGACCTCATGTGGCTAGATTCTGGCTCTTATCCTGGTCTTTGCAAGAAGGCAGGCTTGAAACCAGCCTTGTCTTCACTTGACTAAAGGTCGTGAAGGAGAATCGAGTCATTCTTGTGGGGTGAGCACAGATGCTTTCTCACCCACCGGCCATCGCCATCTGTGTCTAGTTCTTAGGCAACAGCCCATCTCTCCTTATTGTAATTTATCAGTGCTTGGTTCATGGTGCTGGGAGAAACCTCACCAACTAGGGATCCTCAACCATAGGCTGGTACCCAAGGTGGACCAAGATGACTCTCTGAGATCCTGCCCAATTCGGAGGGCCTCTGATTCATTGCCTGTACCGACCCCAGAAGATGAAGTTAGACTCCCAACTCAGCTGACTTATGTTTAGTAGATGATGAAAATGGAACCTAGTCGGACGGGCGGCTGCAGCCAGTTGCCATGGCTACCGGCGTCTCCTGGGAGTGTAAGGTCTCTAGCCTGGATTCGGTGTGGTTTCTGATTTGGCAAAACACACCAGCTGTAGTCTCGCCTCCATGCCTGTTTCGACAGGCTCCATCCTAGCAGAGAACGAGGACAGCCACAAGACTACTCCCGCATCAGGAAGATCGGGGACACAGGTTGTAGCCCCTTGGGCCTGAGTCCTACATCTGCCAGGGCAGGAGCATAAAGCTGATTTCACTCGTTCCTTTTGTGGGACTCCCACAGGGTGACGGTTTATACGTCTCCTGGAGAAATAGGTGTGTCAATTGAATTTCTGTAAATTATAACGGGGGTCCCTAGGAAAAAGGGAAGTTCCAGGTTCCCTGCCCCACCCAGAAGGAGGTTGGAGCTGAGCAGAGAAAAAGGAGAGAAGAGAAGAGAATGAAGCAGGATGGAGAATAAGACGGAAACCTAAGGAAGCCACATGGAGCAGCAAGCATGTGAGGAAGAAGCCATGATTGTTTCCTGGCCCTGGACTGGCTAAGGCAGATGTGGGTGAGAGACCTGTTGGGAGGTGACTATGGCAGTGTTTATATTGATTTTGATTTTGCTCTTTTCCTCCCAGACTTGTCTGGCCATTTCTGACCCTTTTCCATGGGTCCTGGCCAGAAAGTGCTTTAGTCTAGTGGCAGCTTTCAGGCCTTGCTTTGGGCCAACCCCTTTTGGGTTGACTTTTGCCCACGAGGGGACGGGTCACTTCAGGTGTTTGATTTAGAAGTTCTATTCTTTGTGTTCCGTATTGTATATTCACTGTATTAAAGTCCCTTTGCATTAAAGTTTTATATGTTTTGTCTTGTTGCGGCGGATGGCAGAACCCACTTAGAGCAGGCAGGTTTTTGGGCCTTCAGGGGTTTCTCCCTCTTCCCCCTGTCAGATAACAGAATTGGGGTGCCCTGTAACAAAATCACATTGCACCAGGGATTGCTTATTGAAAAGAAATCACAGCAAAGTCTATTCACAGAACACCTTTTTGTAATTCAGAATAATGTGTGCATTATTTATTTATTTCTTCGAGTAAGGCCAAATCTTCTCCTTCTTGGTCACATGAACTTTCTGGGCTGGGAAAACTGAAGCCCTGGAATACTGAGCCCCTGAGCCTCGAGGAGCACTGCTCATTGGTCTCCACTTCTGGCCCACGGTGGGTGCCCTGAACCCTGCCTCTTCCTGGGGTCAGAGCCTTTGTGTGCATGGGTATAGCTTCCAGGGAAGGGCAGAGGGTTGTCTAGAAATTCAAACCGGAGGAATATTGTTGGAGGTGCAGATCCGGTTTCCAGGCAGAGACCCAACTTGGGGAAGAGTCGCCACACCTGTTACTTTGCAGTAAGTGGAAACTTTTAGAAAAGTTACAAGAATAGGAAGAAGGACACGTTCCCCCGATTATTGTAACATGCTCATTTTATGTATTGTTCTCTCTGTAGCTGTTAGCTCCGCATGTCTCTAGCCTACTTTTCCCCTAACCACGAGACTATGATACAGCCGTGCCCTATGGTCAGGAGGGCGGCTCCGGTTCCCCTCTCCACCCAACGGAGGGTGGAGCTGAGGTGCGGGGGAGGAGCAGAATCTGGAGAGGAGACTGAAGAGGAAAAAGGCAGGGTGGAGGCCCTAGGGAGGCCTCGGGGAGCATATGGAGCAGAGACAGGTGAAGAAGCGGCTCTTGCTTCTTGGGCCTGGACTGGGTGAAACAGATGCGGGCGAGAGACCCCGGGGGAGGTGACTATGGCAGCGTTTATCTTGATTTTGATGTTGTGCTTTTCCTCCCAGACTTGTCTGGCCATTTCTGACCCTTTTCTGTGGATCCCGGCCAGAAGGTGCTTTAGTCTTGTGGCAGCTTTCAGGCCTTGCTTTGGGCCAATCCCTTTTGGGTGGACTTTTACCCGCGAGGGGATGGGCAACTTTGGGTGCTTGATTTAGAAACTATGTTCTTTGTCTTTTCTGTATTGCACACAAATTATATTAAAGTTCCTTTCCATAAAAGGTCAATATGTTTTGTCTTGATGTGGATGGCAAAACCTATTTAGAACAGGCAGTTTTTTGGGGGGCTCAGGGGTGTCCCTCTCCTTGCCTTGTAACATTACCAAGGCTACACACTCCAGCGTGCGGTTTCCTAAAGACTGTGCCTTTGCCTACGTGGCCACTGCCCAGCTATCCATATCAGGAGATTAGTAGCCTAATAAGACACTACCTCTGGCCCTGACCCTCTGAACCCAGCCCAAATCTCAGATTACATTTACTTATCATATCTGCCTTGTCTCTTTCAGTCCCAACCAGTTCCTGAGTCTGCCCTTGTGGAAAGGACAGGCCAATTATTTTGCAAACAGCCCCTCATTAACACCTGGGGGGCACATGGCTGAGAGCAGCTGGGGGTGGTCTTCGACCGGCACATTTCAGCTGTTGCTTAACTGTGGGTAACGTGAACTGGGGGCTCTTCAGTCACAGGAGCAGCAAACCTTCCAAGTGTGTGTCCCCCGCCTGCCAGCACATTAAGGCCTCCGTCCCATCTGATCATTTTGTTAAGGGGGTGTCTGTCAGGATTCTCTACTTTAAAGTTTCCCTCTTTCTGATAAGCATTTAGTGGGGGTAATATTTTACTTCTATGTAAAAATTGTAATCCTCATCAAAACTTTCGTTTTTAAGATTTATTTATTTATGCATGCGAGAACTGGGGTACAGGCCAGAAGTGCAGGGGATGAGAGGATTCACCAGAGACAGTGGGGAGCAGAACAGGCAGACTGGCGAAGTACACTGCTGAGGGACAAGACAGGAGAGGTGTGCTGCACCATGTGGGTCAGCTCCCTGGCTGGGGACCGAACTCTGCTGCAGAGGCTGTGGACAGCTTCATAGTGCTGGGCTTTAATCCATTGCGCCATCAGGGAGAGTCAGAAACCTTAGTTTTTGTACCCATGGAAGATTGTTGGTTGAATCTGCTATTGCAAAGACAGCTGCTTTTCTGTTACAGACCTCTCCATAAAAGGGGGAGGGCCCCATGCTTCCCACCCACGCTTAATAACGGGCAGAGCTGAGCAGCCAGGTGAAGCTATGTAACTTGGAAGGTGGGTGGGCTCTGGGGAAGAAGGAGAAAAAGGAAGGTTCTTGTTTCTGTGGCTCAATTTGCACCCTGGTATTGCTGGGAAGGAGATATGGAAGGACATGCGTGGAAGAGAGACATGTAGAAACACTTGAAAGAGACACGTGGGGACTTCCTGGCACAGGGGTTAAGTCTCAGCACTACCTAGTATGATCACTGCAGCCTGAGTTCAATCCCCCGCCCCAGAGGTGACCCACATGAGGTGACCCACATGAGGTGACCCACATGAGGTGACCCACATGAGGTGACCCACATGGCGCAGCCGACCTCCCCTGGCCCTTCCGCTGCTCCCCTCAGCTGTGTACATCATCAGCTGGCCTGTTCTGCTCCTGACTCTGTCTCTGGTGAATCCTCTCACCCCCCTGCACC